GTTTTAGTTCTGTAAACATCAGGAGCAGGATACACTAAAAGATCTTTTCAATCAAGATGATGACCATGAAGAACTTGGCAATTTCTACGTAAAGGCCAGCTATAAAGAGAAGGTAGGCGCTTACAAATCTTTACAGCAGCTTTAGTTTTTTCCTCATTATTTTCTCACTTACATGATTTGAATGACAGAAGTGCTTTAAAGAAATTATGATGGCTCCATTTACACAAATTGGTGAAGTTTGTCTTCTTTGCTTTCCACCTTAATTATTTCATACTCTAATGGTAGTTGTATTCTAAGAACACAAATGTAGTGTGTGTGTGTGTGTGTGTGTAATTGCAGAGACTGGAAGCTCGGATCGCTCTTTTACAAAGTGCGGTGGACGAGTACTACAAAGCCAAGAATGAATTTTCTGCCAAGGTGAAGACCTCAGACTCTTCTGATACAGGCAGATTAGCAGCCTGGGTCAGAGTTTATTGTCTGTGTAGCCAGAACATTACATCTGTGTATTATCAAGAGGAATTCTAGCCTTTCTCTCTCTTTCTTCTTTTTTCTCTCTCTCAGGCCACAGAAGATGAGATGCGTCTGCTGCGGTTTCAGAGGAAGCTAGAGGAAGAGAAGGGTGAGCCGCTTGTGGGATTCCCTCTTCATGAGACCATGACCATGCTTCTGTCTGTGGGACTGCACAAACACGCCGAACAACTTTACAAAGACTTCAGAGTGCCTGACAAGAGGTGTGCCTTCTAACTATAGTTTTACTCACAGGATTTATAGTTTGTCTTTCCCACTGGCGGTGTTGAAAACCTTGACACATATCTGAGTACAACTGCTTTTTAAACAAGAAAAAAGTTAGGGTGGGAATTGATTTTGTCCATGGGGAATTGATTGGATGGTTGTGGTTTGCTCTCATGTGAGTGACAGGTTGTCAATTGGTTCTTTCGGACGGTTCAAAAAATGATTTACCAGTTCGCTTATGTAATCCCGTTTTGATTTAATGTTGACTTTAAAGACTGCAGTTGTAATGCAACCTTTAAAAAAGTATATTTTAACCTGGGTATATGAGTGTAATCCAAACGAACTATTAAAATGTAAACATCACTTTCAGCAAGTGGTAATAAATGTGTCAAATCTCTGGGGGGGAAATAAATATATATATATATATATATATATATATATATATATATATATACTGTATATATCTTTTTCAATGCTGCTTTTTCAATGCTTGTCTCTAAATAAAGATTAATATAATGTGAATGTCATGATGATATGAGTGAAGGTGTTTTTTATTATCAGGTTCTGGTGGCTGAAGTTGAAGGCTTTGGCTGAGAAGGAGGACTGGGAAGAGCTGGAGAAATTTGCCAAAAGCAAAAAGGCTCCTATTGGATATCTGGTAACTAATGTCCTGTTGATCTGTCTTAGAATTATTGTTGTGAATTAATCTTACTTCTGTCTTTCTTGGATTACAGCCGTTTGTTGAGGTGTGCATTAAACACCATAACAAATTTGAAGCCAAGAAATATGTCTCTAAAGTCACACCTGAGCAGAAGGTCAAAGCTCACCTTGCAGTGGGGTAAGAGGTTATTACGAAAAGTATTTAAACAGTTAGACCATTTTGTGTAAATGTATTACTATCATTGTGTTAGATAACAAAATAAACTAATGTGTTAGGTTTAAAATTCTATGCAGTATACACTACTGTTCAAAAGTTTGGGGTCAGTAAATGAATACTTAATAAATTAATACATTTAAGCTCCATTCACACCAAGGAAAACAACTATAATGATAAATATACACGGTGGTTCAAATCGTTCTAAATATAAAAGAATAGCAGAGTCCACAACACAACTATGATGATAACAGCACAGAGAAACTATAAAAACATTGACAGCCAATCAGAATCCTTCCTGCTTTAAAGAGCACAAGCATTTAAAGCAGCAGAGGACATAACTGTCGCATATGCTTATAATAAACAGAGCGATATCGTCCACAGCTAATATAGTTATCATTATATTTATAGTTGTCATTCTTTGTGTAAAACGGTCTTTATTCAGCAAGGACGCATTCAATTGATCAAAAATGACAGTAAAGACATTTATTAAGGTACAAACAATTTATATTTGAGGTAAATGCTGCTTCTATTCATCAAATAATCCTAAAAAATGTATCATGGTTTCCCCCAAAAAATATATATACACTCACCGGCCACTTTATTAGGTACACCTGTCCAACTGCTCGTTAACACTTAATTTCTAAGCAGCCAATCACATGGCGGCAACTCAGTGCATTTAGGCATGTAGACATGGTCAAGACAATCTCCTGCAGTTCAAACCGAGCATCAGTATGGGGAAGAAAGGTGATTTGAGTGACTTTGAACGTGGCATGATTGTTGGTGCCAGAAGGGCTGGTCTGAGTATTTCAGAAACTGCTAATCTACTGGGATTTTCACGCACAACCATCTCTAGGGTTTACAGAGAATGGTCCGAAAAAGAAAAAACATCCAGTGAGCGGCAGTTCTGTGGGCGGAAATGCCTTGTTGATGCCAGAGGTCAGAGGAGAATGGCCAGACTGGTTCGAGCTGATAGAAGGGCAACAGTGACTGAAATAACCACTCGTTACAACCGAGGTATGCAGCAAAGCATTTGTGAAGCCACAACACGCACAACCTTGAGGCGGATGGGCTACAACAGCAGAAGACTCCACCGGGTACCACTCATCTCCACTACAAATAGGAAAAAGAGGCTACAATTTGCAAGAGCTCACCAAAATTGAACAGTTGAAGACTGGAAAAATGTTGCCTGGTCTGATGAGTCTCGATTTCTGTTGAGACATTCAGATGTTAGAGTCAGAATTTGGCATAAACAGAATGAGAACATGGAACCATCATGCCTTGTTACCACTGTGCAGGCTGGTGGTGGTGGTGTAATGGTGTGGGGGATGTTTTCCTGGCACACTTTAGGCCCCTTAGTGCCAATTGGGCATCGTTTAAATGCCACGGCCTACCTGAGCATTGTTTCTGACCATGTCCATCCCTTTATGGCCACCATGTACCCATCCTCTGATGGCTACTTCCACCATGTCACAAAGCTCTAATCATTTCAAATTGGTTTCTTGAACATGACAATGAGTTCACTGTACTAAAATGGCCTCCACAGTCACCAGATCTCAACCCAATAGAGCATCTTTGGGATGTGGTGGAACGGGAGATTCGCATCATGGATGTGCAGCCGACAAATCTGCGGCAACTGTGTGATGCCATCATGTCAATATGGACCAAACTCCCTGAGGAATGCTTCCAGCACCTTGTTGAATCTATGCCACGAAGAATTGAGGCAGTTCTGAAGGCAAAAGGGGGTCCAACCCGTTACTAGCATGGGGTACCTAATAAAGTGGCCGGTGAGTGTATATATTAAGCACCACAACTGTTGATAATAAAAAGAAATGTTACCAAATGCTATCAAATCAGCATATTATAATGATTGTGACACTAAAAACTGGAGTGATGATGCTGAAAATTCAGCTTTGCCATCACAGGAACAAATGACATTTTAAAATGTTTTCAAATCTATAACGGCTCTTTCAAATTGTTTTAATGTTTCACAATATTACTGTTTTTACTGTATGTTTGATCAAGTAAATGCAGCCGTGGTGAGCATAAGAGACGCTTCTATCAAAAATAAAATAATCTTACTGACCCCAAACTTTAGAATTTGAGTGTTCATGATTAAAACAAAGAGCCACTGTGTAATATTCTCTGTCACTCAGGGATGTGGAAGGTGCCGCAGAGGCTGCTATCGAGAGGCGTAGTGAATCCGAGATCAGTACTGTTCTGTCACGCTGCTCGTCCACCACTGATCATCTTCTGATGGAACGCCTCAACCGTGCTAAAGCCACTGCTGCCAAAAAGTGAGCCTGTCCACCTCTGCCCTGCTCAACTCAACTCAACTGCATTTGCTGCCAAACAGTGAACCCCTGTGCACCGCAAAGAAGCACGCAGCAGAATTTGCTTTCGGCTGTGTAAACAACTCCTGGTGTAATGGAACATTTTCATGAAAATTCTGCACAATGAAGGAACATGTCTTGGATGGACGCACAGAGAAAAAGACAGACAGCAAGAAAACTTGCATGTCAGCATTTTATGTTTTTCTGCCTTTGTCGGGCAGCTAGAAGCAGTTCCCATCTTGCACTTCACTGTAAACCTTAACCTTTGTACCTACAGTTGCATTATGAACCATTGTGTTTGTCGTAGAATTATACTGTCATTGATCATATGCCTGTTTTCTGTAGAGATTATCTGACTCTGAATATAACAAAACATTTGTTATTTTAATTAAACCATGATTGGCTACCAGAATGTGTTCGATGGAATCTTTGCACCTAAATAACACAGTTAGGGAAGCCCATTTCTGCCACATAAGAAATCAAATTAAAAAAAAGCTTTGGTAAATGTTAAAAATGACATACTAAGTCATCATAATTATGAAAAAGGTGATATGACATGCTAAATTGAAATTATGAGATAAAAAGATGAAATTCTGACATGCTATGTCAGAATTGTGAAATATAAAATCATAATTATAGGATAAAATTATGACACTTAAGTTATGAGATTTAAAAATATGAAGTTATGTCTCTCACTACAAATGACTTATTACTGTACATATCAATTTGCTAAGTCAAAACATATTAAGCAAAGTCATAACAGATAAAAAAGCCCAAAATAAGGGATAGTTGGTTTCTGTCAGAATTATGGTTTTATGTAATCATTTACTTTTTAAGTCATAATTTCGAAATTTTATGTCATATTTTCGACTTTGTATTTTACAATTTCTACCTTTTTGTGTCATAAAAAGTTTGTCTTAGATTTTAATTTCTCACAGTCACGCTTTCCTTTCATGCCCAAAGATTGAGAGACTGGGGTCAAACTCCTCTCACCTGCACTTTTATCCAGATTTGTGTTTTGGGGCGCATTTCTAAGTGTGACCGCAGGGGACGCTCTCTTTCACTCAGTCTTACATCACATCACATACTGTACATGCGGAACTCTTGCAAAGTGAAAAACTACTGCAAGAACACCGATCAGAGAGGAAGAGAGGATATAAGTTAAAAAGGTACGACAACACAACACAAGTCTTAGTTTTTGCAGGCAAGGTGATGTCACACACGGTTTTTAAAGAGTCTCATGACTTATCACGTGGTTTTGTAGTTCAGCTCTTCCACAAAATGTGCTGTTTCTCCAGTTCTGATTGTTTTGTTGGTGTCACTTCACTTCACTATATCTACAAATGAAACATTGTGACGGCGTCTGTCTTACAAATTTCGTATGTTTACCTTGCACGCAGTCTTATTTATATATATATTTTTTAATCAGTTATAAGAGAATTGGTTTCTAGTGCGTTTCCAGTATTATGACAGTTCGTTTGTCGTTGTGTAACGCTCGTATCTACAAAGTGTGATTGAGCAATTCATGCATATGCATAAATGCATGCATACTGCTTTTCACATTTTCATTTAACAGTATTTCGTTAATAAGTGTCAGATGAATTATCGATATTATGGGCAATAGCCTACAGCTTAGTTAACACTGCAGCATATTTGTCACACATTTATTTAAAGCTCATGATTGAATTTATTGAGGTTCTGTATTGATGACACATATTAAATGTAGGCTATTTTTATAATACTAAATGTTCACAATTTATATTATTAATAAGTGATTAACAAACAATTATATAATTCAAAGTGGTAGTACGGCACTGCCAGTTTCATCAGAGCTTGTTGGCTCAACCAATGGCGTTTTGGGCGGGACTACATGTTTGCTCGACCAATGGCAGAAGAGGGCAGTGTTCTGGGGAAACCTGTTTGACAACAGTTCATTAATGTAATTCCATTTGGTGGCAATAGTGGCGCAGAAATTTAACACGTCATCTTCTACAGATCAGAAGTTCATGAACACAAGATGAATATCATGAGAGTTTGATTACTATCTATTTTTTTTAATGTATTTTAAGTAATGACTTGTAATTATGCCATTGCATTTAATGTTATAATGGCTGATAAAGTTATATTTACATGGACATCTGGAGTGTGTGCTAAAAGTGAGAGTTATCTACTGAAAATAGTTTAGTTTATTATTTGGCATGTGGCTTATTGTACTGAACTTTGTTTTCCTTGATGTTTGCTTAATTAAGCAGTGTCTAAGGTAAAGGTTGTTTCAGGGCATCATATACTTAAATGAACTATACTTGTGTGCTTTAGGTCATGTCGTCCATAAAAGTCGAATGTGTTATCAAAGAAAAGACTGAAGTCGGTGAGAGCCCAGTCTGGGAGGAGAAGGACTCCTCTTTGTTGTATGTTGATATTACGGGTCAAAGGGTCAGCCGGTGGAACTCTCTGACCAGTCAAATAGAGAGTATTGCCACAGGTAAGCCTGAAGACATAAGTTAAGTGTGGGCTGCATTTTCACTTTCAATGAACTTGGTGAATATGCAACCACATTTATACCTCAGTTGCCACTTTAAAAGTAATGTTTTTGGCTTGCATTTGATTCAAAGATGCATTAGACATTGGTTCAAGTGGAATTAGCTTGTATTTCTGTTATTGTAGTTTATACTCTAATGCCATATCTTCTCTCTGCACAGAGAAACCTGTAGGCTCTGTGGTTCCACGGCAGGCGGGTGGTTACGTCATCGCGGAGGGAACTCGGTTTGCCTTTGTTGACTGGGTAAAGCGTTCAATTACAGCTGTTGCCCATGTCAACGACAAGGAAAAACCAAACACCCGCTTCAATGATGGAAAAGTAGATCCAGCTGGCAGGTTTTTTGCAGGTATTTATGTATATGTAAACTATAAGAAAATGTAAAACTGGTGAGTGTTATTTTGTGACAGTAGTAGTTCTGCATTGTACGTTTTCAGCATAACTTACAGAAGCCAATAATTAAATAGTTTCTGATCAAATTTAAAGGGACAGTCTAACCAAAAATGAAAATTGTCATCATTTACTTATCCTCATGTCGTTCCAAACCTGTATGCATTTCTTTCATCTGCTGAGCACAGAATAAGAAATAAATATTTTGAAGAATGTTGCTGACTAATGCCAGGTTCTGACTCGACCCGATTTTGGCACGATCCGTTTGACATATGGTGTCGTGGTGATTCATAATCGACAATGGGTGTCGGGTCGCAAGTCGTTTTATCGACAGTGGACGACAACCGACGTGTCACAATATCAGGACAGAAAGGCCAGCATGTTTAATTTTTTTTTTTGGTCGTCCAAGACGAGTTGTGACATTGACCAATAGGAGTACAGAAGCTTTTCCACACAGCTTTCAAACATGGTGAACCGAAAGAAAGACGATGGTATTGGTGCTGCTAGGTGGAATTATCCAATGGAGAATACTTGAATTAGCATTAGGCTAGTACAACCATTGTTTGTTTATGCTCTTGTTTCCAGAAGTCAATGGCTAGTTCTGCCTTCTCGATGACATCACGTATGTAGCTAAAGACGGCAAGCGATGATTGGTTGGGAAGCACTGTGTATTCTGACATGTTTCTTGTCCATGACAAGAATTTAGGAGTCAAAATCGCATAATCTGACACAGTGACTATCGTAACAGATAAAAAAAAATAATGTGAAGCCCTGCATAAACCTTTTCCGTTCCCACTGACTTCTATTGTATGGACAAAGAATACAATGGAAGTCAATGGGAATCCAAACTTTTTTGGATTCAACTGGATATAAAATCTTCTTTTGTATTCAGCAGACGGAAGAAATGCACACAGGTTTGGAACAACATGAGGATAAATAAATGATGACTGAATTTTCTTTTTTGGCTGAACTATCTCTTTAATTCTGTACAGAAAATAAGCCAGTTGAATTAATCCCATTTGGACTGTGCCATTCCCACTTCTCCTTTACTGTGTCCAGGTACCATGTGTTTGGACATGAAGCCTGACGTGATGGATGCGGCGCTGTACACCCTCCATCCTGACCACTCTGTTGTCCAGCATTTTGACCAAGTGCACATCTCCAATGGTTTGGACTGGTCACTGGATCACCGCGTCTTCTATTACATCGACAGTCTGGCGTTCATGGTGGAGGCCTTCGATTACGACATCCATACCGGAGGGCTGTGTGAGTTTGTTTTTCATTGGATGGTAGTCTTGATGTAAAAAAACAAAATGGAGTTTTGTAAAATCTGTATTCTTTTTAATTTGTGTTTAAGCTAACCGCAGGATGGTTTACAAGATGGAGAAAGATGAAGGCATACCAGACGGGATGTGCATAGACACAGAGGGCAAACTGTGGGTTGCCTGCTTCAATGGAGGAAGAGTGCTGCGTATCGACCCACAAACAGGTGTGTGAGTTTGTAAAAGTCTATTAAATGCTTCTATAAGTATCATATAGCCCAGGCAAAACAATAATTCAAAAACAAATGGTAAAATGTGTAATTTGTTGTCATTTTCAAAATTCACATTTGTGACCCGATCTGGCGAAATGAGTCGGAAGTCGCAACGTTCTATTTTAAGATATGGGCCGATTATGTGGAAAAACAATGAAATAATAGTTGTTGTTTTTTTTTTTGCTAATTTCAAAGAACAGACATTCAAAAATAATCTCCCAAAGTTTCGTAGTCCAGATAATTGAGTAAAGGTATTTAAATTACTATTAAAGTGTACAAAGTTTTACTAAATTCGCTGGAAATGAACATTGCTTTTCTCAACTCCTCTCGTCACCTCTGAGCATTTCCCGGGTATCCCCTGAAACGTCACTATCTCTGCTCTTTAAATGGTGTTACACGTTGTATAGAGCAATCAAAAAGCTTAGAAATCTACACAAATGCTGATCATTTGTCGATGGGAAACCGTTTCGACTGACCGGCACGCGATTGGTCCAGCCACCCTCCTGTCAGACTCGCAGCGAGCGCTCTGTGTAATAAACAAGCTAGCAGATCTCCTCAGAAACATTAAATATTATTAATTTGAGAAATGTCGCTGTCAAAAGCGAGCAAAGTTGCCAAAGCGTCATCAAGCCCCCTGGCCATTGCACACTGAGTCCGCGTTTTTTTCGTATGCGTTTTTTTTCGTATTGATTCAGTGGCTCCGAATTGTCAAAAGAAACACCATTCAAACTGCTTGCTACGGATGCGAAAAACTTACGATTGTTTTTATATAACGGATGAAAGTTTCGTAGTGTGCACGCGTGATTGACCTAACGTGATTGACAAATGTGAATGAGTGTAGCTATTTATCTGCAAGGAGAACCCAATATGTGTTTGATTAACCCAATATTTAACTGTTGGTATCTCCGTTATGAATTTGTTACGCTGTTATTGTCAACTAGCCTACACTAAGATATGATTGCATAGACTAGCATTATTTGATCTCTGTTTCCTTGTCTCTCTGCCTCTCACTTTCTCTCTCTCTCTCTCTCTCTCTCTCTCTCTCTCTCTCTCTCTCTCTCTCTCTCTCTCTCTCTCTCTCTCACACACACACACACACACACACACACACCCTCTCTCTCAAGCAAAAATGTAGCACCTCTGTTCAATCTTTCTGATTTTAGTACATTTTTGTAAAAGGTAGGCCTACTGTTAAATTATTTATTCAAATAAAAACTTTTAAAATAATTTGAGCTTCAGCCTGGTTTAATAGCATTTATATATTGCCTTTGGTCAAATTAAGCTGTAAAATAAATAGTTTATCCCTTTAAATGTAATGGATTTTGAAAGATATCAACAAAAAACGGGCAAAAAACTTTAAAAGCGATTTTCTCAGGTTTTCAATTGGAAAAAGAGGGCAGACGACCATAATTCAAATGTGTATATCTTTACAACCATTCAAGGTATGACTTTGACTAGGATATCAATTGAAAGCTTATGGTCTCCTCTTTCCATTAATACCAAAATCTCAATTTTTAAATTTGGGTCACTGTGACTCATTTTGCTGGATCAGGTCACATTTGAGGTGTGACTGTTATGTTATGTTATATTTAATTTATGTTGTAGATCAAAATGTCAAAAGTCTCTTCAAGCATGTTAACCTTAATTTACTCATAAATTGACCCATAAACCCAATTGGAAATTCCTGAGAGAAGAAGCACAAAAGGCCTGCACACTGTTGCTCCCATAATTTGCCATCAAACTCACGTTGAAATATTCTCATATTCAAAGACATACACCTGACAAAATAACAAATATACACTACAGTTCAAAAGTTTGAGTATAAAGACATTTATAATTTTACAAAACATTTCTATTTTAAATAAATGCTATTCTTTTGAACTTTCTATTCATAAAAGAATCCTTAAAAATGTATCATGGTTTCCACAAAAATATTTGATAATAAAAAAACATTGATAAAAATAATAAATGTTACGTGAGCATTAGACTACTGAAAATTCAGATTTACCCTCCCAGGAACATAGAAAGCAGTTATTATAAATTGTAATAATATCTCACAATATTATAGTTTTTACTGTATTTTTGATCAAATAAATGCAGCCCTGATAGGCATAAGAGAAAATGTTTTTTTTTTTTAAATGTAATTGCCATAGCATCAGGTGCAATTGCAAACACCATAATTTTGCCATCTCATAAATGATGGAAAAAAGTGAATACAAGTTAGAATTATGAATAAAAAGAGACTCATACATTTTACTTCTCTTCTGGGTTTTAAGGCCGAACACACCAAGCTGATGGGTCGGATGTCAGGCTGTTTTTGAGCATCAGTTGGTTTAGTTTTTCCGGTGTGTTCCACACCATTGGCTCTGGTCAGATGCTGTCTGGGTTTTTGGGCCGATTGAGAGAGAGAAGAGTCGGTGAGAGAGAGAACTCTGATTGGCTGTTCAGCTTAGCAAATGAGTCAGTGCGCGAGACTAAAAGCGAAAGTGATGAAAGCGAGCAAAGAAGTCAAGACGGTACAGATAGAAGGCTTTTATAATTTTACGTCATCCTACCTGAGCATTCGAATGCATTAATATTTTCATAATAGTGATCAGCATGATTGATATTCAAAATGGTAAGCAATCGCTGCTTAGTTTATGGTTTGTATGTCTGCAGTCCTAGTTTCGGTTTCCCTTTTTGAATGACGAAAATAGACTATTGATGTCTGCAGATATAGACAGGTATTTACTTACACCCAAGCGCAGGACGCACGTGCTAGTTGATAGTCGCCTTTAGTCCTTTTGGTGTGTTCAAGCGCAGCTCTTTGGCCGAGAGGCGACAACACTGTCATCTTTCATCGCCACTAGTTCTTTGACGTCAGCTTGGTGTTTAGGACTGAACGTCTCTATACTCACTAAAGACTAGTGTACACTATCAAGATCTTGCAAATGACTAACAGTCAATTAAATATAAATAGAAAATCTAAATGAAAAACAAAGAACAGGTGTACATGTTCTGGGGAAGTCTAGGCTTTCAGTTTTTAATGAACTTCCTCTCTCTCAGGCACACGGCTGCAGACAGTGAAACTACCCGCTGAGAAAACCACCTCATGCTGTTTTGGAGGAAAAGACTACAGTGACCTCTACGTCACCTCAGCGTATACAGGCATGGATTCAGATTCACTAGCCAAGCAACCTGAGGCCGGCTGCATTTTTAAGGTAGACGTCTCATTTCATATCATGCTTAAAGTTGCATGATATCACCTCTGACACATAATGACACATTATATTCTTTATTCTTACTTCAGGTGTCTGGTTTAGGAGTGAAGGGCATCCCACCATATTCATACACTGGATGAAATCAAAGGAAAAAGTGATGTTAATGAAACCATGATAATTTTGCTGTCACTATACTACAACAATGTTCTAATTGTGCAATCAGTGATATAACTTTATATAATATTAGAAAATCTTAGCTCATTTCAGATGATTTAGGGTCCATTCACACAGAATGTGTTTTTGCATTCAGCTGCACTGCTTTTCCATTGTTTTTCTATGCAAACATGCGCCATAGACAGACGCGTTTAACCATTGCGTTCATATGTCTTGCAGTGTCTCGCGTATGACACAGCGTTCTAAAAACTCTGTGCTCAAGTAAAAAATCTGGGGGGGGGTTTTTTCAACTGACCTGCGTCTCGTGTTTTTAACTGCAAAAACATGTTCTGTGTGAATGGCCCCTTAAACATTCAAAGCAGTTTGTCTAAATGACTAATGTAAAAGATTAAATTGCATGAATAAATCTATGTAAAATGATATATTGTTTTAATCTTGTTTACATTAACTATAACAAGAGCAATCTGTGACTTTGTGCAATGTTTTAGGAAATGATTGCAAGTGATGAATTTTTGTGGATTTTTTAGGTAATTTTACTTGATGCTTGTAATGTATATTAACTATAAAATGAATGCTTTTATAGTTGACTTTAAAAATGATGTAATTGTGCTAACATAATTAAAAAATTAAAATTATCTCAATTGTCACAATGACACACCATTCACAACCTATTTTATGTCCATAGTCTGTATTTCATAGTACAACTGTACCCAGTGGAGGGAAAAAATAGGGCAGGACTTTATTTTATCCACTGGGAATTGATTGAATTTAAAAAAGTAGCTGTTATATACCAGAATGGTGGCTGGAGGGAAGAGGCTGAAAAGGAAGAGGTATTCGGATGTCAGCTGAAAAGTCATTTCAGACCATGCATTAAAGGAATAGTTCACCCAAAAATGAAAATTCTGTCATAATTTTTTTAACATAAAAGAAGATATTTTGAATAATTTGTGTAACCAAGGAGTTGATGGACCCCATTGACATCCAATGGAACCCATCAACTGTTTGTCCATCAACATTCTTCAAAATATCTTATTTTATGTTCAACAGAAGCAAGAAACATACAGGTTTGGAACAACTTGAGGGTGAGAAAATTATGACAGGATTTTCCATTTTTTGGTGAACTATCTCTTTAAGAGATAAATTCATGTTGATTTAATAATACTAAGTAAACCTACAGGTTTTGCAAAGGTTGAATAGATTGATTCGTGTAGTTTGTTTTGCTGTATTTGTGAAAAACCTGAAATAAGAAAAATGTTTCAAATTCTGTCAAATGATCTCTGAAATTCTAGTTTTTCTTTTTTCAAGTTTAAAGGGGACTTTATGCTTTTTTACATTTCCAACTGCTGTTTGACCATGAAAAGGGTTAAATAAAATTTAAAGCACTAATTCCACTCCAAAGAGAGTATATTCTGAACGATTGTAGTTGGGTTTTCTGCCGGGAAACGTACACGCCACAATATCCCTAGTAGTGTGTTGAAACCACTGATATATATATAGATATACTGTATAGATCAGTGTTTGAAACTTGCTGTAATGGTAAGGGGCTTGACATTTCCGAAACACTCTCGAAGCAGTTGACCAATCACAACACACTGGTCCAGCCAACCAATCAGAGCACATTGCACTTTTCGGATGGAGGAGCTTCATGGATACAGGAACTAAGAGCGTTACTGACAGACTGGAAAGAGAGGTGCTGCAACAATGTAAAATATGTGGGGGGAAATTATTTTCTCATCATCCCTCTTCACTCTACCAGTGACTAATATACAGTAATTTACATACAGTAGACAAACAATAAAGAACAGATGCAGATAATCAGATTTAATACTTTTGATGATTATTGCAATTTAATATTAGCCTAGAAAAATAATAGAAATTACCACTGTGCTGATTTGTGTTTTGATTTATGGATCAAGTTTCTTTTGAATATTCACTTTTATTTAATTCCCCTGAACAAGAACATGATTGAGGTTTGTTTGCTAATCAAATTCAACAGGCTTAATGGAATATACCTTCTGTCCTAAGCCTCAAGCGGTACGTATCCTCTGATGTGCCATGACAACCATCTTTCACGTTTCTCATAAACAGTCATGAACTGAGGGAAATAATTCATTCAGGGACCTCAGCATATGCCAGCCATTAAGACTTCAACCGTTTCTCTTTACATGAAGCCCTCACTCAAGGACTGCTGGCTAACAGAAGTGTTGATGAACCTGTTTTGTGGCCTCAAATCGAGTACTGGTGGGCAAATAATAATTCAGATTATTCATTTCATTCCTCAATAACAAGAAACAAACTGGCAGACCAGGTGAGTTAAGAGATGTAAATGGCTTAAAATGTTTCGTTGCAACAAAATGCACCAAGAAATGTGAATTTAGCACTTTTTGAGTGTTACTCATAATGTGTCCATTTGGTCCATAGAAGGACTGTTTGTTTCTGTTCTCAACCTGACTTTTAATGGGAATGACATGCTCCTGTACCCTATGTTGCTTGACAGGGTTAAAGAGCAACATCAGGGCTCTGACAAGGAAAGCATTGACATCATTTCTGGATGTTTTGTTGGGGTGAAGAATATCATTGCTCAGGATATCATTCAGCTCAACAATAGATCATGAGAGGGTCTTTGGAGTCAACATGGTATCTCCTTCAAACAGTTGAAGGGTTGGGGTCAGAATCCCTTGTCTCTTCAATATATTTCTATATATACTATTTGAGTGCTCACATTATTCCTATAAAAATTACTAATCAAGTATAAGTATGTTCATTTAATCATTTCTATATTCAATGAGTGATTCACATATATTGTTAACCATATGTTGTTGTCAGCATTTTTACCAGTTTCTTTCTAAGTGCATTCTGATGTCTGTGACTAATCTTTATTGCCTTGAACGAGGACCCTGAGAACCGGCTCTTTGTATTGGGAAAAACAGTTAATAAGATAATAGAATTCACTTTATTCATTAATGAAATATACATAAAAGAAGTACAATTCTGTGAATCAGGTCACATAAGTCACGTAGTGTATGACCCCTGTAACTGTAACCATAACTTGGTCAGCAGAAAACAGACATAGAGTCATCTGATGAGGGTGACATAGAGTCTATCGGAAGAAGACCCTCATCAGATGTCTGTTTTCTGCTGACCAAGTTATGGTTACATGGGTCATACATGTGACCTGATTCACAGAATTGTACTTCTTTTATGTATATTTCATTAATTAATAAAGTGAATATTATCAGTATTTATTCCTGAGGAGGGAATGTTCTGTCCATTTTGGTAGTCTGTCCTGATAATGGTGAGCTCAGGCCCTCTTCAACCTTGGAGGATCTGGGATTCCCTTGTGCTTTTGTGTGTGTGTTGAATGTTCTGTGCTGGTCTTGTGATATATGCAACAACAGACCCCGAGGTGCTTTCTATGACCTCCGAGGTCATCTCCGGATTGAATCTTGGACTCGGATGACAACTATCTTGATTAATGTCGACTTACCCTCCTATCTATCCATATGTGCTGGATAGATAGGCCAATCAGAAGTAGCCAACATGTCATTTTTTTCCCCTTGGAAATGGTATAACTGGTGTGAGATTTTGCTTTGTGTAAAGTTGGCTTTCGACCTCCTCGTGAGACTTTGACGCTCACTCTACCGATGAAACTGTAAACTATTCTTCAGTAAATTTTTATCTATTTGATTGAACTTCACGACTCATGGTCTTCTTTCATCATCTGGTCCTGTGTCTTTAAAGGAACACTTCACCCATTTCAACATTAATCTTTATTGAAAGTGGGTCATATATGTAGTCGAAATGTAAAATAATTTTTGAATTTGGTGCCCTCTTGACCGGGAAAAGACAGAAAATAACTTTAGGGTGCATTTGTATGTAAGACAACAACTCCCACAATGCACCACATTGCACAGCTCCGCAAGCCCCTCCGCGCAAACATCAGAGAAATCACTCTTTCGTCTACAAGGCTAACGTTAGCTGCCACCAGAGTTAGAAATTCATTTCACACAAAATTAGTTAGTTCGTTGGCTGTTTACCCTCTAACACAGGATAAGTATCAGAATCTTCCCATCTAAGAAAAATAGGTTCTAAGAACGTTCTACTAAAGTTCCCACTTCCCATTAAGTTATGAAAACATTATTTCTGAATGTTCTCTGAACATTTAAAATGTCCAGTTTATTAAATGTTTTAAAAACGTTTTTTCTTGGTTATACGAACGTTAAGGAAACATTTGATCAGTTTGACAACCTTATGGGAACGTTACTGTTCTACTAACATTCTGAAACGAGTAGTAGCCTATTTTAAAAACCTTAAACAAACGTTCAACTAAAATGTTTCATTTTTGTGCGTTTTGAGAACCTTATTAAAGACCATGAACATTCAATTAAAATTACTGGAAGAACATGTTCATTCAGAGAACCAAGCTACCCTTTTTGCCAAAATTCGGAGAATGTTTATTAGCTGGGTTTATGTCCGTTTGCTTCATTCGGTTTTGATGAAAATGGTAGGGAAATGTAGTTGGTTAAATGTAAATTTTTGTAAACTTTTGAAGGACAAAAATCTTTTAAACAAATAACCCAATTAAAATCCTCAAAAAAATAAAACAAAATAAATAATCTTCATCTTCTTCATGTGTTTGCCAGTGTTGTGTTGGGTCTCTTCAACAAAACGAAAAACATTCACACTTTCAGATGGTCCCTAACATTGTTGTCATTCAGAATCAGATTCGAGAACATGTCACGAGATGAGATGACCATGGAAAAACGCGTGTTTTAAGGGATTACTGTTCATAGTTTAAAAAAGTAATAAATGGAGAATGAAGAAAGATGCATCTCCAGCTGCTGTTCGGACTGGATGTCCGGGATGCCCTCGAGTTTTTGGGAGACCCCGCTGTGGAATATCGCTATACCCGGTAGGATACGTCTGATTATTTCAATGTTGTTGTTTTTTTTGTTTTTTTTACAATTAATTGGTGGCCTTTTTGATTGATTATTTACATTTCGATTGACTATTTAACAATGATCAACATCTGTTTACTATTTTTCCAGGAAGTCATGACACCATGACTTACTGTTTAGATCAGCAGTCCTCATACTAGAGTCTGCGCCGAAGGTGGTGCAAGTGTTAGACACATTATTTCCATGTATCGTTCGGCCCTGTATAATAAAATGGGCAACAACACAGGTAGTAACAGACATGATTATCCAAAATTGAATGAATTTATTTCTTCAGTGGAACACAAAAGGCAGGATGTTATCATGACTAACAGCCTCAGTCACCTTTATTGCACTTTCGTTTCAACAACAATGGTGACTGAGACTGTCATTCTGCCTCCTTTTGTGTTCTACAGAAGAAGAAAATGTCATGGCAGAGTTGAAATATTGCAAATGTGGGTAAATGATGACAGGATTTGATGATAAACAGCATTTTTTGTGGCTTTTTTTAATCCAGGAGAACAGCATCTCTAACCAGCTGGATTTAGGCATTCGGTTTCTTGATCTAAGAATAGCTCATAAGATAAAAGACCCTAATAAAGTTTTCTACTTTGCACATGGGATCTACTCTCTTCTCACAGTAAAGGTACATCATCATTTTAAAAGAATGTTAAATACTCATTTCAATCGAGAATATGGTTGTGTTCTGGTTGTGTTGTTTGCAGGAAGCGCTCTCAGATATTGCTTACTGGTTAGACCAGCACACCAAGGAAGTGGTCATCATTGCACTTTCTGCCTTTGATGGAATGAACCTGGATCAACACAGAGACCTCATTCAATTCCTCATAAGCACTTTTAACAATAAAATTTGTCCCAATCATGTAAGTAGTTTAATGTACAACATTTGCAACTTTAATAAATAACTTGAATCTTAAAGGGATAGTTCACCCAAAAATGGAAATTCTGTCAACTCACCCCCAAACCCGTAAGACTTTCGTTCATCTTCGGAACATCAGATGAAGTTTGAGAGCTTTCTGTCCCTCCATAAACAGCTACGCAACTACCACTTTGATGCTTCAAACAGTTCATAAAGAGATCGTAAAACTAATTCATATGAATTGAACGGTTTAGTCCAGATTTTCTGAAGAGACTTGATCACTTTATATGATGAACAGATTGTTATTCACTATCTCCCCTATAATTCCCTTGTTATTTGTGTTATTTCAGGTCACACCCTCACTAAAGGAGTGTTGGGATCACAGTTATCAGGTGATTTTGTCATATGATGACTCTGCTGCTTCTGGACAGGAGGAACTGTGGCCCGGCTGTGAATATTGGTGGGCAAACACATCAGATCCAAATCGTGTCATATCCTACCTGGAGGAGAAAAAAGAAGAAGGGAGACCAGGTCAGTCACAATAAGAAACTGAGATCAAATTGCACCAAATGAATAGGAAAGTAAAATAATATATTTCTTTAAAGTTTGTTTTTTTCTTAAATAATTGCTCCCAAATTTTCTTTTCAGAAAAGTTTTTTGCTGCTGGTCTGAACCTAACTGAGGATGCCAGGTATATAGTTTCTCATCCATGCCAGTCTTTGCAAAGCATGACCCTGAGCTCCTATAGTCTGCTTTTGAACTGGGTCAAGCACCAGTGTCCAGGCTCAGGCAAAACATGTTTCAACATCATCTGTGCAGATTTTGTGGGGGCTTTCAGCAATGAGTTCTCCCAGCTGGTTATTGGACTCAATCAAACACTCTTAAAAGAGACTTGATCCTTAAATATGCCACAAATGACATTACATAAAAACGGTGTATTATATAAAATGTATCAACTATATATCAGCGTTGTATATTTACATATTAATAATTTTCCAGTCTTTTATGACGGTCCCTAAACTGTGAAGGGTAAAAAATGTTTTGTGCCGTGCTGCCATCTAGAGGCAATATTTAGGTTTTCTGTTTAGGAGACGCATGCCTCAAAATAATGTTACTTGCAATTTCATTGTTACATCAATCTTTAAAAATGTCAAAGAACTAAATGTCTTTCCTGCCTTTTCTTTGATGTTTGATCAAATGGAAAAGGCATATTTCTATAATCAAAGGCTGAATGGCTCAATAGATTATATAGCATTACCTGTCCAATGAGTCACGCTTAATTTTAGGAACATCCGATGCCTTGTCATGACTTCATCTATTGTTGACACTCTGTTTGGCTTTTAGTCCACGTGGGTTACATCTATGTATCTGTGGGGTCTAATTTTAGATGGCGCTTGTAACTGCACTTTCTAAGGTGCTTAACATTTATAGTATCTTAAGTGATAATCCCGTTCACTGATCCCTTTCACACTCAGTTTGTTTGTGTAGGGTGTATGAGGTAAATAAAAACATGTGGGGTTTTTTTTCTCTTATCTGAAAATGATCACAGAGAAACTTTTCAGAAAGTCTTTCCAAATTTATTGTAAATTAATGTCTCGCCTATTGCAAGACAAAATCTGAATTTGTTTCTCGGGCAACATTTTTATACCATGCAGAGACAGACCTGGGTGTCATTTTAATAAAAAAAAATCTTCCACTATTGCATTAGAGTATAGTGTGCACTACATGCAATATCCAAAGTATGAGGGGAAAATGTGATATGTGATATATTGTTAAATAGGTAAGAAAATTTAAATTATATTTACATATATTGAAAAACTGAAAATAATATGACCAATATATATGTTTCACATTCTTTCTGGGAAAAGAAAGCATCGCTACAACTTCTGAAAGTGAACAGCAGTGTTTTAGCATTACATAAAAAGTATTGTCACAAATATGTCAATGTCATTTTAACATCAATGTAAAAAAAAAAATGTTTAAATATCAACAACTCTTTGCTCAACTTGGTGATATTTAGTTATATCAACTTGAAAACTTACACCTAAAACTAGGGGTGGACGATTAGTTATCTTAATTTACCTTTGTAATTAAAAATAAGAACAAAGAGGCAAATTACAAAGAATAGGACAGGTATAATAAAACAGATTAAAAGTGCTTTAAGTTTTTCAGGTAGGTTTATAGTACATTAGATCTATTTAACAGTAGCATTCAAGTAAGAAACAGTACAGAAACTGAATAATCAAATGTAAAAACTGAAAACACTGCAAAATAAATTACATTGATTTACATTAAAGCTACAAAGGTTATTCAGTACAGAGCAGTGAGTGATTTTCTTTTGTTTAGACACACAGCAGCAGGTTTACTGTTTTAGGCTGCTGTCACTTTAAGACCTACCAATATCTAATATGTTTGTATCCGATATCCGATAATTACCGAGTATGTTTACAAGAATACTCACTAAGACAGGCATTTTGACATAACTGTGTGTGTATTTGACCGTTCGAGTGCAACAAGCCGCTAAACAGAACTCAATTTGGGTTCGCACGCTGTCCGAGAGGCAGCTTTCTGTGCGCACACTTATTCAGATATCGCAAGCTGTTGCGATGTGTAAATTTGCAATATTTCGGTAATTTCGATATATCGTGCAGCCCTACAAAGTATTTAGAACATTCTAAACAGATCTGGAGCAAGATGCTTCCAGAGAGCTTTGAGAATCCCCTCCCTCCTCTTCCAAGTCCCCACCTTCCTCCTAAACAGATTACTCAGGAGTTAAAGGAGCCTGCATTCGGTCGCTGTGTAGTCTCTGCGAGGCTTAGAGCCACAGAGGAAACAGATGGGATAAGAAAACCAGGGGATCTTATTACAGAGGCTTAATCAGCAAACCAAGGCCCGTCCAGCAGACAGTCGCACAGCTTCGGCCCCTCACAGTTTCTCTTTCAGAGGTACTCGTCTCAGGGACTGGAGATAAATACAGCTGTTTAACATGGAGAACGAGGAAGAGGAGGATGAAATCTTTACAACATTGCAGGGAGGATATGAAGGGCAGGAAGATGTAGAGGAGAAGGAGGAAGAGGAGCCGGAAGCTGAGAGGAAGAGCAGTTGGGATATCCCAATTCCAAGTCGATCAATCGCCAGTCGCAGAGCTTCACTTCCATGCCCGGTCAGTACACGATACAAATTTGTGTGTGTGTAAAGACACCAGTAGCTATGGGGCCAAGCTGTGGCTTTGTCTTACAGGCAGCCCACGAGCGGTTGATTCAATTAACACTTAAATAGTAACTCAAAGCCACACGTGCTTATTAGGGGCTTTTCCACAAGCAATTTATTTTCATCTTTTTATGTTTATTCGGCTATGTATGTAAAATTTTATGCAAAAATATGTTTAAAAAAGTTTACAGTGTTAACTTACCGTTTATGAACTATTCAACTGAATTATATTTTTATTTCTCTTTTTTTTTTTTTGACAGGTCTGAAGCTAAAACTAATTATTTTAACGTCAGTGATTTGTTAAATCATTCTTCAGCTAAATAATGATGCTTTTGCAAACATGATAATGTTTGCAATCATCATGTTTGCATAAATCTACACAATTTGCCTTACAGGAATGAAGACCCAATACAATTATGAATCATCATTAAAATGTCACATTTTAGAAAAACAATTTAGGTTGCAAATCAAAAGGTGATTTTCATTTTGATTTACTGGTTAGTGACATCAGAGATCAAAGTAGGACACCTTTTGCATAATCTAAACTCTTAAGAAGAGTGTATCCTGAATTTACCTTCCAGTGTTTAGACAAACTGATTAAAGTAGTAGTCAGTAGTAAAGAGTCAGATATTTCAGACAGGCTAACATTACGTTTATCTTTTTGCTCTGCGTCTGCATCAAAACATGAGTTCAAATGAATAAGAAATGTGTGGAATTCTCCACTTATCTTCCATGTGAACTCGTTGTACAAAATGCTCTTTGGATCATTTTCACATACTGGATAACATGGATCATCTGGCTTTACACAAACTTGTGGAGTTCTGTATCTCAATGCTGCTGCCATTACAGGGATAGTTCACCCTACAATGGAAATTACATAATAATTCCCTTACGCTCATGTGTTTGCAAACCTGTATGCATATATTTCTTCTACGGAAACAAAAACATATTTTGAAGAACATTGGGAAGCAAACACCATTAAAGCCCACTGACTTCCATTATGTGTTCCACAGAAGAAAGAAGTCTTACAGTTTGGGAAATAAAAAGAGGGACAAATCAAATACTGCACCATTCTAAATTTTCAATTACATTTTTCACTAATATCTAGTTCAGTCATGAAACTCTAGAGGGCGCAGGCTGTCCTTTACATGCAATCTGCAAGTAGCCACATCATTACAAATGGCACAAACTGATTGGCACAAGCTGATCCTGCAGCCAATGACATTGCTTGCTCAGCATTTAAATAGTCTGGGTCATTGTTTGCTGTAAGCTAGTACTGCAGCGCACTCTCAGATTTCCTCTGAAATCCTCCACCTCCACCTTCTAAGGAATTTATGTATGTCTATTTATGCAGCAGCAGCATATCTTACATGTTCACAGCAGTGTGTCTGTGTATCTATTAGCAGTAGCGTAGCAGATCTAGTCCACCAAGATCTAACATTGCTATTTTCAATAACATGCTAAAACTATTCCGAGAGTTGTCATGATTGTTATACTGTTATTGTTATAATTTCAATTGCAATGCAAAATAATCTGTATGTGCCTTTATTTTATGCATGCATATTTTTGCATATTTTTCAGGCTCAGCTGAACGAGATGCATCTGAGCCGCCTGCACTCTGCCACCGTGGCCCCAAGCCCAGCTCACCTGAGCCACTTGCTTCAGAGCGGTGAGGCCAAGCCGTGCTCTCGCTCCAGCCATGTTGGCAATAATGAGGTTGGAACGCAAACCAAGGGCAGCACAGGTGAAAGACGCCCACATGCCATCCCTACCATCCCTGAGGTGCACGAGCCTCTGGAGAGAAAAGCCAGATTTAGGAGCCGCAATGTCATGTCTCTGGTTGGTATGATTTATATGATTTTGCTTTAGAATTGGTAAAGATGTGAATGAATGCCAATGGGTTATTCAATCTCAGGGGCATTTAGATAAACGAACATGCAGATAAGAATTTTATTCTGTCATGTTACAGTGCTTTGTACGGAGCCCCCCTAGTCCCAGTTTGTCAAAAAAAAATTAATTATAACTATCTCGTGGCCTCAAGATAGTAACTCGTGTCCTCAAGATAGTATCTTGTGGCCACGAGATACTATTTTGAGTCCACGAGTTACTATATTGAGTCCACGAGTTACTATCTTGAGTCCACGAGTTACTATCTTGAGTCCACGAGTTACTATCTTGAGTCCACGAGTTACTATCTTGAGTCCACGAGTTACTATCTTGAGTCCACGAGTTACTATCTTGAGTCCACGAGTTACTATCTTGAGTCCACGAGTTACTATCTTGAGTCCACGAGTTACTATCTTGAGTCCACGAGTTACTATCTTGAGTCCACGAGTTACTATCTTGAGTCCACGAGTCACTATCTTGAGTCCACGAGTCACTATCTTGAGTCCACGAGTTACTATCTTGAGTCCACGAGTTACTATCTTGAGTCCACGAGTTACTATCTTGAGTCCACGAGTTACTATCTTGAGGCCACGAGTTACTATCTTGAGGCCACGAGATACTATCTTGAGGCCATGAGATAGTTATAATGTTGTTTTTTGACAAAGTGGGACAGGGGGGGGCTCTGTAGCTTTGGCAAGGCTAAAGAAATCTGAGGCTGTATCAGTGCATGTACAACGCATACTGATACGCAGCTAAAAACTAAATAAATAAAGCTAAAAACAAACAGCAAACAAAAGTTTTTTTACTCAACAGCAACTAAAACAGTTTTTTTACACAACAGGGTTGTTTTCTTACCTTTTTTTTTTCTTTCACTCAAGTATGTTTGAATATTTTGTGTTTGAGTTAAAGTCGACATGAAAAAAATATTTGATAGTCTTTTTTCCCCCTGTTATGATGTACATATGAGTGAACCAGCTTCTCAAACAAGAAAAAAATGTAGAGCGGGACTTGATTTTGTCCATGGGGAATTGATTGGATGGTTGTGGTTTGCTATTGCTGTGATGTCATGTGAGTGACAGGTTGTCCCGCCCTCGCGACAGTAAACGCATCATTACAGAAGTGAAGAGATGTCGCTGAGAAAGGGAGGGGAACTTATTTTGATTAAAGATTATGAGGCGACATGAATTTTCAAAAACATAATAGTATGCACAGATAAATCATTTATAATAAATATTGCAGTATTCCACAAAAAATACTTTCTTAATACTTTTTACACCTCTTATTCACATTCACATCCTATTGATTATTTTATCTAAAACAAAATTGGATAAAAATGTATTATATTTTTACACAAAAGACGATATTTAGATAAATGTTTCCGTGTTTTTAGTCCATCCAATAAAAGTCAATGGGGTCCAAAGTTGTTTTATTTTTGAGAGACCTATCATTTTAATTTAATGGACAGGTCACAAAAAAATGTAAAATAGAATTGCATTTTTGTATTGCTGTTCAAATATAATGTGGGGTGAAACAAATTCAGTTGGTTGATATAATCTGGTGTTTGTTTTGTAGAGTGATGCGGACAGTTTGTGTCTGATCTGTCATGACAACCTACGCAAAGGAGTAGGAGGTATCAGAGAGCTTCACTGTTCCCACAGCTTCCACAGTGAGGTAAAGGTTCAGACTTTATAAACTGGTAGCCAGCTTAGGTATTATAAATGGTCCAATTTAACGTCAGAAATGTATTATTCCCACACATAAATGGCCCAGAAATCAGGACATTTCAGATTAGCTACTATCTATCCTACATTTTAACTTCTTGTAGCTGGTGAGCCATTGTTTTCTCCTAAGAGTTCTTCCTCATTCTCCCTAACCATCTTTCAAACGTGCCATTGTCCCATGTGGCTTGTTCTCTTGGGTACTGAGATACTGTCCTTTGTAAAGCTGCTTTTGTATATGTTGTTGAAAGCACTGCACAGAACATCTGAATGTAATTGAATATTGTGCCCTTTTTGCTGGTTTAGTGCATAGAGGAGTGGCTGTGGAGCAAGCAGGCCTGTCCCACATGTCAAAAGCATGTTGCCATGCCAGAGCCCCTGTACTGGACATCTACCAGAGTAATAGTGCCCTGAGCTCTTCCAGCACCCATTCAAACTAGCTTGGACATCAGCTTTTACAGGATTGTTACATGATGCGGACGACTGACGATGGATATGAAAGAAACAGCTATTTACTAAAAACAAAAGGTGGTCATTTGATTTATCCAGGAGAAACAGATGGGCAGAACATCTCTCTGGATATAGGCTAATTGATTTTGCCACCACTGTGTACAATTGTTTGTTTTTGTAATTGTATTTACATATTAAGAAAATGAATGTTATTTTCTATCATGGTTATCTTTTTCTGCATACATCTAAGCAAACTGAACAAGTTGCATGAAAATGTAAAATTGTAAAATACCTCACTATATTTGTAAGTAGTTTGGACTGGAGTAGGCATACTTGATATGTAAATCAAAAAGTTCTGTTTTACAAAACATGTAACTAATGTAATGCTTTCAACCAAAAAGTAGGCTTGCACTGCATGTGTACTTGAGTAATTGTGCTTCTTTACTATACTTAAGGGAGTATATATATTTCACTGGTCATCCTTACATGGATTTATTATTTTATTGAAAATATTCACAATGAGTTTTACTAAACTAAAATAACGTTCCTGTGAAGTTTACAACCACTTTTTTGAAAACAGCCAATAAAACGGTTTCAATGGATTGTAATTGGTTCTGTATTCATCATGCATTTTGGCCCAAAGCAAGTTGTATTTATCATTGAAGAAGACCTTGACTCAAACGCTGTCTGTGATCAGGGTTTAAACAACTAGGCTATTTAGTGTGCATTATTACACTATAACAATTTCACATCTGATGTGTCTTAGAGCCTTCCATAAAACATGACATTGAGAAAATAGTGTACGGGTTATTTTGCACAGTTTTTAAGTTACTGTAATGTGACCAGATGTTTTTGTGGATTTCATACGTTCACTCAAGTCTAAATTCTCAATACTTTTTACACCTCTCTTATTCACTTGTCTGCATGTATTGTCTACAAACATCCTATGTCCACTTAATCCCATCGGTGTTGAATGTAATGTACAATGAGAGCATATTTATGGCTAAACAATAAGTGCAAACAAAACAGTTTCAGTACAGTGTATGTCTATTCAGTGCGTCAAACGTCATGACGTCGCGCAATCGTTACCGTGGCTACACACGGAAGTTATCTTGTGCACCTGTTACACTACCAAACAGGAAAAGGAACGAATCACTACATATTTACTTGAACAAAGTAGCTTCGAGGCAGTTTTTTTTTTAACTTGACACATCTTTTTTGGATCGTTTTTTAAACCAGTCAATCTCAACCTTAATGGACAAATTAAAGAAAGTTTTGAGTGGCCAAGATGGCAATGACGACCTCAACGTACTGCAGGTAGTTGCGTTTGACAGTCTGAGTTAGAACTCGGTTTTATTCGCTATTAAGTTTGTTTACTCAAAATACACAGTGTTGTGGTTTCGTTTTGATTACGAATCTACGTGTTTTGTTGACTGCGTGTTTACCCGCTTGTCATTCGCAAAAACTTAAAATCTGTCTATTTATGAATATCAAGTTGATTTAAATCATTTTCTGAATATAACAACAACAACGACGTTGTTTTAGGCAGCGAATGAAGCGTCAACACTGGGATGGGGCACGCGCGTCAAGGGATTCCTCGCGTGCTTTGTGTCGGGCGTCTTGTGTTCAGTTTTGGTAAGATGAGAGCACAAATAGTCTTATATGGTTTAATTTGTTATACAATAGCCGAACGTATTCTCTTTCCTTACTTTTGTTATTCAGGGGACCTGCTTGCTCTGGGTTCCGAAAAGCGGACTGACACTCTTTGCAGTCTTTTACAGTTTAGGTAATATTGCTTCTCTTTTGAGGTGAGTCATGCATTTTTATCTCCCCACCTATGAATTGATCTATTCTAAACCAAGGCGTGTCACTGTTTATAATAGACAATGTTTGCACTGGCATGTGGTCAGTGACAAATACTGACTTTTACAACAAAAAAAAACATTTTTTACAAAGTAATTGATTTAGTAACTCTAAAATGTGATAACCATCAAGTAGAAAGTAATAAAATATTTAATATATTATCTCATACATATGTGTGATTGTAAACCTCTTAATATGTTGTTTTCTGGGTCTGGGTCTGGGAGATCTTTAATAGCTCAAAAAAGTGTATGCTTCAGGATTTTATACAGGATTGTATAAAGAAATCGAACGCATTGATGGCATCTATAAGAATCTGTAAGTCAATGCTGAGGTTCTTTGGGTGTGGATTCTTTTCAGCACTATGTTCTTAATGGGTCCATTAAAGCAACTCAAGAGGATGTGTGACAAGTCGAGAGCTCTGGCAACTGGCATTATGATTGTAAGAATACACACACACAGATATAATAGACTGTAATGCATACAGAGAGATTCAGTTTTTCTTATCTTGTCTTATAATTTGTGGCCTTTTTCTGTAAACTGAACATTTGTGTTTTTTAAAGACATGCCTGGTGCTAACCTTTTGTGCTGCCTTTTGGGTAAGTTGCTTTCTTATTTAACATGATTAGGATTTTTTTAGCCTTATAAAGTTGGTGTCATAATATGTAATACAATGTTTGTTTTAAATTTGCATGATTATTATGATTAGTGATCCTTTGCTTTCCTTATCTTTTTTTTTGTTTGTTTGTTTGTTTTTTGTTTTAGTGGAAGAATAAAGGCCTTGCTCTGCT